GACTCGCTTGAGCCCAGGTGTTGGAGGTTGCCGTGAGCTGTGATGTCACAGCAATCTACCCAGGGGGACAGCTTGAGGCTCTGTCTCAAAAAAAAAATTAAAAAATGAAATAAAATAAAAAACAAAAGAAGGATGAAGCAGGGAGTGGTGGTGGTGGGACAAAAGAGAAGCCATTTATTTGTTTATTTATTTATTGACACAGAGTCTCACTATATCACCCTCGGTAGAGTGCTATAGCGTCACAGCTCACAGCAACCTCCAACTCCTGAGCTTAAGCAATTCTCTTGCCTCAGCCTCTCGAGTAGCTGGGACTATAGGCACCCACCACAATGCCTGGCTATTTTTTTGTTGCAGTTGTCATTGTTGTTTAGCTGGCCCAGGCCGGGTTCGAACCTGCTAGCCTCAGTGCATGTGACTGGTGCCATAACCACTGTGCTATGGGCACTGAGCCAAACCCCTTCCTTTTAAGGAGCCTTCCCAGAACTGGCACACAGCACTTCTGCTTAGATATCACTGCTGCAACTTTGTCGCACAGCCATGCCTAACTGCAATGCAAAATCAGTTTGGGGACTTTAGAAAGAAGGGAAGAAGGATATTAGCTCAGAGAAGGAGCCCTGCTTAGCCCGCACCAGACTATTCTTGAGCAAGAAGTAAACCTTCATTGGGTTAAGCCACTGAGATGTGAGGGGTTGTTTATGGCCTCATGTACCCTGATTAATATATTTGGATAGGGAATTATCATTTAGTCAGTCAACTAACATGGCTGAGTTCCTACCATGAAGTCCTTTTGTGCCTGGGTGCTCACTCTTGGGGTCTGCACTTGAGAAAGAGAGCCTCCTTGAATTTTGCACCCTAGTTGCTTCTCTCACCTCACCCTGGCCCCAGTCAGTAGGGAGCCAGGATATGAAGCTGGGATCTTTCGACTCACGTGCCTGCATTTCCTTTTGGTAAAGCAAGGGGCAGCTTCACTCATACCAGGGCCTTGTTGGGGGTACTGCAACAGCAGCCGAAAGGCCCACAGGCTCCTGGACTCTCACATCCCTCTGGTGCCCCACTTGGCAGTCTAGAGGTCTGAGCCACAGCTAAGTGGCTTGGACGTGCCAGTGGAAGGTGGTCCCTCCATCCCAGCCCTTCATCACCAACGCCCTTGATGCCACTCATGGCTCCTGACCTGGCCATGCCCTTGGGCCTCCACTGCCCAGATTCACCCACCCTCAGTTATTAGAGAAGAAAAGTTCCAAGAAAAATCCATGTGCCAGGGGCGGTGCTTGTGGCTCAAAGGAGTAGGGCACCAGCCCCATAAGCAGGAGGTGGTGGGTTCAAACCCAGCCCTGGCCAAAAATAACTGCAAAAAAAAAAAAAAAAAAAATCCACGTGCCTTCTGCTGATGGCATGGCTGTGACTGAGGTGTCTCTCTCCAGGTCTCCTCCTCACTCCTAATCTCTCCAAATGTCTTCCTTCTTGTCTCAGAGAAAGAAGGGGTTGAAAAGTGATCACGTCAGGAAAAGTTACTAGAAATCAGAAAAGGGTGTATTTGAGGGGCAGAGTCTTAAAAGGGACTTGAGGAAACTTCTGGAAATGTAGCTTCATCTGGGTGGTGATTACATGGGTATATACATAATCACGAATACACATGACACATTATTTTCTTTTTTTTGAGACCAAGTCTCACTTTGTCATTCTGGGTAGAGTGCTGCGGCATCACAGCTCACAGCAACCTCAAAAAAGTGATCCTCTTGCCTCAGTCTCTTGCCTGTAGTTGGGACTATAGGCGCCCACCACAACACCGGGCTATATTTCAGAGACAGGGTCTCGCTTTTGCTCAGGCTGGTCTGGAACTCCTGAGCTCAGGCAGTCCACCTGCCTATGCCTCCCAGAGTACTAGGATTGCAAGCATGAGCCACCAGGCCTGGCCATGAACACACGTGATTATACATGCGCATGTATTTACAAGTATACACAGCATACATGTACAGCAGGTGTAAGAAAAGTCATCAGGTCATACATTTAATGCTGGCACACTTTCAGGATTTTTCGGTACACATGTTATGCCTCAATTAAAAAAATACATATCATAGAGAGCTGTCTGGGCAGTTGCAAAAGTAAATAACAATAAAACCACAACTTTTGTTTTGGAGTCACATGGCCCTGTGGTGATAACCTAGCCCTGTCTTCTAACTGTGTGACCTTAGGCAAGTTACTTAACCTTTGTAAACTCCACCATTTTTATTGAGGGATGGATTTGTGAAAACCAGAAATGACACTTTTTGTAAAAGGTACTTAGCAGGAAGGCTGGATCTTGTCGGGTGCTCTATACCTAATCACTTTACTTTTGTTATTAAAACCAAGAGCCTAGATGGGCAAGCGGCTCAGGCCTGTAATCCCAGCACTCTGGGAGGCCAAGGCGGGTGGATTGCTTGAGCTCAGGAGTTCAAGACCACCAGCCTGAGCATGAGCAAAACCCTGCTTCTACTGAAAAATAAGAAAAACTAGCTGCGCATCATGGTAGGTGCCTGTAGTCCCAGCTATTTAGGACTACTGAGGCAAATGGATCACTGGACCCCAAGAGTTTAAGGTTGCTGTGAGCTAAAATGATGCCCTGGCACTCTACCCAGGGTGACCGAATGACACTCTTATCTCAAAAAACCATGAACACCAAGAGCCTGGTGAGGAAAGCAGGGTGGGGATGGTATTCCCTGGGTGCAAGCAATAAGGGGGTGGCAGTTTGAGAATTTAAAGATAAGATAAAATCAATGAGAAGGCAGTCTGCTTTGTATTATTACTATGTGATGGCAAATATAAATAGTATCAGTGATAAAATACTCTGTCCTGAAAATATCACTTACCCATCTAAGTTTTAAACAATTGTTTCGGTAACTGTTGAATTTTAATGATATATACCTAAGCTTCAAATGAGCTCATTTTAATCTCATCCTTTAATAAACATATTCGACATATGAGTTACCTCATAGAAGAACTTGCAGGAACGCAGTGGTCCCTATACACATAAACTTAGGAACACAGGTTGATTGAGAGTGTTAAGCCCCTAATAATCATGAATCTTTCAAGCTTAGTGTTGGGTGCGTTTCTGTCTCAGACGTGACATGTTTCTGCCTGTAAGCAGCAGATTCAAATATCAATGAATGCAGAGTGATGGTAAAGACAATGACACAAGTATTTCAATTTTGTCATTTTACAAGGCTGCTTGGAATACTGATTTGTGTTTAAAATTTTAAAAAGAGTGAAACAATGCGAACCATGAAAGGAAATGTTTTTGCTTGCTAAGTGCACGTGTTAGTTCACAGGTGAAATATATTTGTTTCGGGCTCAGTGATTAGGATGCCAGCTACATTCACAGAGGCTGGAGGGTTCTAGCCCAGCCCGAGCCTGCTAAACAGCAACGACAACTGCAACCAAAAAGTAGCCAGGCGTTGTGGCAGGTGCCGGTAGTCCCAGCTACTTGGGAGGCTGAGGCAAGAGAATCGCTTAAGCCCAAGAGTTTGAGGT